ACTCTAGAAGCATAAACTTTGATGTCTTTTACAAAATTACAAATCTTCAATGTTTCTAGAAGACGATTCTATCACTTTAGGACTTAGGATACACTAATTAGAAATAAGGTAGTTTCGAATGTAAGGGCTGGAACTCTAGAAGCATAAATTTAAATGTCTTTTACTCTCTAAACTTCATTCTTTTCTTTTTCGTCCGTTCCAATATAAACTCATTTTTTCTTTTATGGCAAAGAATATGTCATTCATAGCATTTATCACTCCTTTGCACAACTTTACACATCCTTACAAGAAGGTCTCAAAATTTTATCGCAACACTAAATATCTCCATATAAATTTTAGTTTTCATTTTCTATATCACTTTTAACAAACTTTTCGTTCACTTTCTCTACATTAAATTAAAATAAGCGTCCTATCTCTATCTCTCCTATGCCTCCTAGGATGGACTTCACTGCACTACACTATCCCATTGGAGATGCTCTTATTATGGGATGAAGGGAGTACCAAATTATAAATCTTCTTTCTTTTCCACTTTTTTTGTGGAGAAGATGATTCTAACACCTTAGGAGACACAAACAAGTAACTGAGTATGTCTTCATAATCCTCATCAGTGATGCGAGTTTCATTCTCAGAAACTATTTTCTGCTCTTTTACCAAATAAATGATCAAATCCTTTACAGAACTGTACCCCCCTCTGTATTTCTCTATTTTAGTGTGTGGATATGGCTCCCTACCATGTTGTAACTTGTAAGATCATATTGATATTCGCGTCATGCCACATGTACATGATATGATTATCTGGAACTCCCACATAACATATTGGTGCTCCCCTCCTTCTACATACTATCTTCATTATATTCCCACTTGTCTTCATTATATTCCCACTTGCTTCAGTCAACCAATATCACGCTGAATGTTTCTTATATTTGTTTCTTTGTCTTATTGGTAATATATTTACCTTTTCTTGGTTTTGTTTCCTTTTTTCGTTTTCTTTTCTTTTTCCTTGGCTGTGTATCCAACAACTGCCATTAGAGATAACCATATCTCATTCATTGCTTTTTGTGTCGTCAAGAAGTATTCTTTTTGAGATATCCTTGGCTGTATATTTATGTCTATATCTTGACTTGTGCTTGAAACTATGAATAGAATGTTAGGTAAAAACTAAGGTATATTGATTAGTGTAAACAAAAGAACATTTTCATTTTTTTTATTCTGTGTGACTCTCTTGACACATATAGTTATGCACGATCATAACTTTTGCATTGGTGATGTTCTAAAATGTCATTGCTGCTCTTAATTCAAAGACAGGCAAAAAAGAAGAAAAAATAGATATATGGCACACACGCAGACACAAAAAGTTCTGGAGTAAAATATCAAGTGAAAAGAGAATAGCAATGTGAAATACATACATTTTTTCAGTTGCTAAGTTCTGGTCACTGTGAAAAAACAGAAAGAAATTGCTCCAAGTTGGAGTAAAGGGTATAAATAGAAGTACAATTGTTTTATCCTAAAATTCAGAATCATGTGGTCCTAATAATAGAATAAAAGTAGTTAAAGGTTCTAATTTAAAAAGCAATATAGTCACCTTTAAGGAAAAAACAATGGTAGTCATATTTAATGAGATTTATTATGTTTCGTTCCTACTTACAGAATTTTCCATAAAAACATTGGCTGGAATATTCGGAAAAAAGAAAACATAAAAGAAGTGAATGCTTGCAAGAAATATAGGAACATGGAATTGCTACCTCAATGTAAAGATGAAATTTAAACCCAAATGGATTGATGGATACTAAATTTTGTTTCTTTTGTGATATACATCAGGATACTGGAGAGTTGACTAAAACAATGTTTTCTTCTTTGTTTGGATAAGTTTGATATGAATCAGGGGATGGAGCTCCAATGATTTATAGGAGTAACACTATGTTAATCGTGGATGTTTGTACGAAAATGAATACATGAAATTGAAACATCAGTCATAATTTACTGAAAGTTATCCAAAATAAGTAAGAAAAATATATATGGAGTATAATTGTACTCTGTCATCATTCAAACATTGAGTTATTTTTTGTAACGCATTGAATGGTCTCATAATGACAATCCATTATTCTTCAGTTCTTCTCCTAGGGTATGTGTTAGTCTTTAGAGCACAAAAAATGACTCGGGATGTTTTTACTTGGACTGTAATTCAGACCAGACCAGACTTAGATAGTTATAAAAATACAAAGAAACCAGACCAGATCAGACCAGATCAGACCAGCAAATTACAGTCTAAGTAAAAACATCCTAGGTGGACTTGACTCCGATTCCAAAACCATTTTGGAACTAGTATTTATACATGTTTATTGTATATTATTACTAATATATAATATACTAGTAATATATATTGTAATATAATACTTCCGTCTCACTAGCATTGGGACATGAGGAGGTGATGCAGTTATTCAGAAATTGAATTCATGTAATTGATATTGAATTTAAAAGGCAGGAATGATTTAGAACTACACAAACTTTATCAAATTTTGTTTGATATAATCTTAGTGGGACGGACAAAAAAGGAAATGTGAGATAATCTTAGCGTGACGGAGAGAGCAATACTCTTGTATATTATATATATATATATATATATAGGGAAGAGTTCAAATGAAAAGTGGTCTTCCCGTGCAAAGTGCAAAGTTTTCACTTTTTCATGTTTCACTTGCACTTTTTCTTATTTGCGTTGCACTTTTTGGCCATTTTGAATTTGGCCAAATTCGGCCAAAACGACGGTGGCAGTTTTGTAAATAAACCAATTTTTTTGAGCTACCGTGAAAAAGTGCAACGAAAGCAAGCAAAAGTGCAAGCGAAACATGAAAAAGTGGAAACTTTGTACTTTGCACGTTAAGACCATTTTTTATTTGAATCATCCCCTATATATATATATATATATACACACACACACACACACACACACACACACAATATCTATACAAACGAATTCCATAACCGGCCCAATGCTCAGAATATCAAATTCTTGGTAGGGACATTTTGGGACCTGGAATTGACTAGTCAAGAACAGTAGTTTGCAAAGAAGCTACTGGAGTTTACAAAAAAAGGATGTAAATTGGACTATAATCTCAATCTGACAGATAGAGAGCGGGGCTTTGTTCCCGGTACTTGCAGAAGCCCTATGCATTTTTAGCATAGTAATCCCTCATCGTAGTACTACTGGAGTTTACAGACTTGGGGCGTGAGGCATGGTGTGTACTGTGTATGATGAGGTTGAACCCGAGGTGGAAGAATCCAAGCGGAAGCTAAATTGGACGAGGTTGAGCGACTGTGGGCAATGTTAGACTAGACCAATCCCTATTGTGTATAGGCATGAACCCGACCGGTTCCAATAAGTATCCAGCCCACCAACAAGTTAGGGTGGAAGATGATACAAGAACAAAGTGAGAAAACTACTGGGGAAAAAAAATGATATATGCGAAAACTTGTAAAAGGGTTAGAGATGCAAGAGGTGCAAATGTGAGATTATCTTGAAAAGATCAAGATTATAGTAGTCAACTTTTCATTTATAAAAGGTTATTTAGAGATGTGAGAGGTGCAAATGTGAGATTATCATTGCAGCAGTTTCAAGAACACTCATGCTATAATTAAAGAAAAGACGAGAATGCCTAAGATGCATATAATGTATATTGTATAATTAGAATGTATATTGCTAAAAATGGCCTACAGATAATAACAAATAACAAATATATTAATAATTATTGGAGTTTAGCTAACAAGAAGCATCTGCATTTTCTATTATGATTTTCTCAATCCTAACATTTTCTTCCTCCATGAAAAATTCTTTATCTTTTCAGTAAGGCAATTTCTTCACGTTGATTCTGATAGTAGAATACTTCACAGTAGAATACTTCTCTATATAAATTCGCTATGTCTAGCTTCCCAGCCACAAGCTCTGATAGTAGAATACTTCACAGTAGAATACTTCTCTATATAAAATTCACTATGTCTAGCTTCCCAGCCACAAGCTGTCTTTCCATTTATACATACTTCATTTAATATTTCATTCCACCAAGTAATTAAAACTTTCACTGAAGGCTGAAGGCTGAAGCATAATGACTTTCATGTATTTCTTGACAAGAATTATTTGCCCAGAAGCCAACATTATTTTAGCACAATATGGCTTTCTACCTGAAGATGAAAGTAAGTTTTTTTACAGTGTTAGTTGTTATACTTTCTATACTATTTCTGAAATTTACAATGAACTGAGTTTTATAACTGTTACATTGTATGATTGCTTTCTCCTTGCAAACTTGTTGACACAACATTTACTTGCAACTTTGTGTATGTACACTTATGCTTGTATTTCATTGCACACTATTTGTTATAAATTTTGTTTTGAAGAGAATGCACTTTGAGAGATTGGTGAACAAATGGGCAAAAAGGACTGGAACTTCAAGTCTTCAACCTCAATCCATGCGATGACAACTTAAACTGGAACTTCACAAAAATTAGGGGGATGCTATGGTACAAAAACTTTGTCTAAATATATTTATTTACTCCTGAATTGTATATGATTTACTAGAACCTTAACCGGGTAAAAAAATTGGTTTGGACTCTGGTTTTAAGTTTTAACCCATTATTAAAAAAAAAACTAAATGGAATTGGATACAAGCACCGGCTCACTTCCTTGTATTGCAACTTGCAAGTGTGGTTATGATGGTTACGATGTCAATCAATGTACTCCGTATTATTTTCTATCTCTAGATTTCGGGTTCCAATAATGCAATACATTGGAGACATTACTGAGGAGAGAATCCATGCATGAAGCAAGCAACCGCATTGTCCGTGTAACCAGGTGCCACTCCAAAGATATTTTACAGCAAAGTTGCATAAGACAATGCAATGGTGAATTCAGGATACACAAGCAAGCGAGCATATAAAAGTACAATCACAGGAACTATGTACACTGAATATTGTGATTAATGAGAAAGCTTAAAATACAGGATGATGATGATGGCGACTACAAGGGCAGCAATCACAGCTCCAATAATCATCTTGTTGCGACTTATGCGCCTGGACATGGAAGTCAAGAGCTTCTTGCTCTTGTCAATCACCTCATCCACACCATGAAGCTGCAAAGCCACACAATCTTATGATAATCATAGATATATACTACATATCAGATAACTCCTACTGTAATTTATTGTAGATATTCAATCAACACAACATATAAGCAAAACCCAGTCGATAATAATTAAAGGTGTGTTCGGATCCTGGAAATTGCAAGGATAGAGGGAAAATGATGCCAAGCAAAGCTATGTTTTGCGTTTGGTTTTACCTCAGTAAATCCAAGGAATACTCACGCTGTCCCTAAATTATCTTCCAATTTTCTTGTTTTCTTTTGTCCCAAAGTTATCACTATTTTTCTTTTAGAGAAAACATTATTTGGTTCACATTATTTCTTTTTCTTCTATATAATCTCAAAAGCACAATTTTTATTTTGCTAAATCTCATGCATAGGAGAAGTGGTACATAATATAGGGATAGATGAGCATATACATAACTCAATAAGAAATAGGAATAATGTTTGGTGAATGTTACGGTACTCATAAAAAAATGAGGGTACTGAGGTATATCATGCATTTGATTGGTCCAAACCATTATTTCATCTTTTGTTTATATTTAAATTATTCAATTGGAATGTTCTAATTGGTCCATGTGGACAAGGTACCAAACCTTGAGGGTATAATAAAATTAGCCATAATGTTTCATACATTCTACATAAATGAATGAAAACCATGGTTTGAACAATTATATATATAAAAGGCAGTCCGGTGCACATTGGCGTCCCCGCAAGGTGAGAGTCCGGAGAAGAGTCCCATCGCAAGGGTGTATAAGGAGCAACACCGTAACCGGTGCGCCATGCCCCAAGGCTCTTATTCAGTTTGAACAATTATATAAATAGCTTTTGTTTTACTTTGAGCCAATGTTTTATTTTCTCCTTCATTTTTCTCCTCTTAAATCACCCTAGTATTTTCTAAGTTTCAAAGAAACTCTAAAGAGCGGTTTGAAATTGTAAGCGTGAATGTGCCTTGTTGTGGGAATGTAATAGTGTTTCACGCTGCTGGTGTAGGTCTTCAAGAATTGAGACACCAAGCTCCTCAGTCTCTAAAGCCAGCCTCCGGCTTTCCATGATTCTCCCACTGGACTGATTTAGCCTCTCAGTAGACATTGCCAACCGCTCCCTTTGATTTGAAGAAGCCTGCAATTGATCAGGATCATTGTCAGATAAAAGAAAAATCCAGCCTACACAAATGATTTAATGTTATGGCATTACTATGAAAAATAAATAATATAACAATACTTCATCTCTGTTTCTACAAGTTGAACGACTGGTGCCTATACTGTTTTATCCCTCATCTTTCCTCCTAATGTTTCGATGAAAGTTGCAAAACATTGAAAAATGATTTAGTTTTTCTTTTGTTTGGTTTATATCAGGAAATGCAAAAGAAAATTAAGTATGAATTCCGTAACTTTTTTACATACTCTAAATTTTCACTCTCTATATAATAGGAATAATAAAATTAAATGAGTTCAAACAAATTTTAAATATAAATTTATTGACTTTGGGCCAATGTTTATTTCTCCTACATTTACATAATTACAATTTTACATTCTTTCCAAATTCATCCTATACTTGCCTACCAATTTTTTTCCCTATTCAAACGGACCCTTTAGGTTATGCTCACATCCAGGAAAAACGCTAGGGAGAAAAGATTTGAAGAAAGTTATGCTCATATGTGTGATTCTTCCTGGGAAAATGCACAGGAATACAGAATACAAATAGTTTCTTATATTGCTTCGCCTTTACGAATAGTTGAGCTTTAGCCTATCGTTTACTTTCCCAGTTTCCCCGGCATCATATTAGTTTCAATTTTTCCTCCATAACTTCACTCATATTTTTCTTCTGTTGCATTTTCTGAGTCATAATCAGACCTTAAAGGATTGGAAAAAAGAAAAGTACAATGAATAACAAATTTGCATACTGCATGTACATCTGTGACATCAGACTCCAGTAATACTTCATGCGCTGTTTGATCGAAACCGCTAGATGATAGCTTTTTCACTTCCCTTTTCAACTTATTGAGGTCAGATTTATATTCCCTTAGCTTAGCAAGAAGAGCAGCTTTTAAACTTGGTTGCAAACTTCTTGCTTCAAGGTCCATTTTACGAATCTGAGGAAATGCACGTTGACCTCACAAAAATGAGTTAAACCATGATAAAACTTTTCAACAGAAACACTAAAGAGATTAGAATGATAGTTACCAGACCATCCGCTTCGTCCAACCCCACTGTGAGCTCAGATATATGTTGCTTCTTTGGATCTTCTTATGACAATGGAAAAAATAGTAACAATCCACAAAAGGAAGGTTAAAGAAAAAGAACGGATGTACTATAAACTAGATCAATAATATGTGAATTGTGAATGTTCCTGCCATTATAGATTGAAAGATTATTGCCTGAAGAGAAATGCTTTAAAAAAACTTATACAAGATATAAAATCTAATCTCATTGAATTTGTATATATATAACAAAAGGAACTGCTTTCTTTAACATGTGTTGCTCCTTCAAAGAGCTCTTAGAAGCAGAATCAGAGTGTTTCAAAATTAATTTAGAAGCATTTCTGAGCATTAAAAAATCAGTTTGAGAGAAGCTGGGGTACTAGCTTATGGAAAAATCATTCTGTATGAAGCACAATCAATCCTAAACACCCAGAACAAACTGAAATGGGATATATTTTCAGAAGCTAATCACAGATCAAACAGAATATATACCTCCAGCGGGAAGAAATGAAGCAGAATTGCATTTCTTAGACAAATTGACGGACAGCTCACAGTACTGCCTCTCGTAACCTTCAAACACGTCACTCATCTCTTGCGCGATTCAATTCCACCTACAACAAAAAATATAGCCAAAATGTTTCGTTCAAATCCATTAAACTAAAGCAGTACAGATTGCAATCCAACAGCCCTAGATCACTAAGAAGCCACTCGAGAAGAACAATTAATCCAACAGAAAGGCGTACAGACAAAATTACCAGTGCCGGGATTATGATGAGATGCAAGCGAGTTGACACTGGGTTGACTCGGGGGCCGCGGACAGAAAATGCCTTCGTGATCAAGGATAGTGTGTCCTCAGCCGCGTTTTGCTATTTGTGTAGCCGTTTCGTACAAATAGAGGTAAATCTGAAATCCGTAGTGCTCCGGAGACCAAATTTTTTTTTGACACCACAAAGCAAATTGTTTTTTTGACACCACAAAGCAAATTGTTAACATCCTAGACCAAGGGTTTCAGACTGAGACGAATCAAGACTGAGTATATGGAGTGCAAGTTCGGTGGAGGTAGAAGAAGTAGCAACAGTGAGATTACTCTTGACGACAGGGAGATATCGGTGTGTGATATGTTTCGTTACTTGGATTCCATAATTCAGAAGAATGGTGAATTAGATGGAGATGTATGATATAGAATCAGAACTAGGTGGATGAAATGGAAGAGTGCTTCAGGATTTCTGTGCGATCGAGGTATGCCGACTAGACTGAAAGGTAAATTTTATCGTACAACAATTAGGCCGGCATTAATGTATGGCGTAGAGTGTTGGGCGGTGAAGCAATGCCACATTCAAAAGAATAGTGTGACAGATATGCATATATTGTGTTGGATGTGTGGACATACCAGAAAAGACCGCTTGAGGAATGAGGTAATCAGACAAAAGGTGGTTTATTTTAGAACTCGGTAAGATCTTTCCAATGAGATATTAAACGCTTTCAACGGCACAAAATAGAGCAAGATATGATCGCATCAAATTCTACACGAGTTCAGAGTGAAATCAGAAACATTTGTGAATATATGGTTAATCTGTAACTTTTAATTAATGCATTGTAAATGAAGTTGGAACAATCGCTTTAGAGCTCCCATCTATCTTTCCAACGAGATATAATACGCTCCAAAGGGATAAACACACAACGAGATATGAGTGTCACAAATACTTAGCCTCATCTCTATGATTTAGCGTTTTCAGCGAAAATAGAGCACTTTTAGCGTAAATACAGTGTATTTTAGTAATTAGGCAATCATCCCTTGATATTTTGAAACCAGCGTCTGAAGACAAGTTTTAGAACTCGGTAAGATCTTTCCAACGAGATATTAAACGCTTTCAACGGCACAAAATAGAACAAGATATGACCGCATCAAATTCTACACGAGTTCGAAGTGAAATCAGAAACATTTGTCAATATATGGTTAATCTGTAACTTTTAATTAATGCACTGTAAATGAAGTTGGAACAATAGCTTTAGAGCTACGATCTATCTTTCCAACGAGATATAATACGCTCCAAACGGATAATTACCAAACAGTCTGTCTCTACTTGTCTGATTACCTCATTCCTCAAGCGGTCTTTTTTGGTATGTCCACACATCCATAACATTTAGTCTGATTACCTCATTCCTCAAGCGGTCTTTTTTGGTATGTCCACACATCCATAACATTTAGTCTGCTTACCTCATTCCTCAAGCGGTCTTTTCTGGTATGTCAACACGGTCTTTTTATTAACATTTTTCAATAGTTGGGATTATTTTGAGATAATTGATAATTTGGATTATTTCAAGCAGATCACTAATAGTTGGGATTATTCTTGTCCATTTTTTTATATATAAATGATATAGTTTTGACATCCCTCCAAGAATACGGAAGAAATTTGATGTAAATAGAAGTATATGAATACTTCATTTGCTTATGATCTCTATAGCTCTACTAAATTATGATCTTAATTGGAATATGTAGTAGTTGTATACTTGTATGGGTACTTAGAAAAGTTCTTAATTACTACATAGTACCGTAGTATTTTTTATCTTTTGACAATCAATGTTTCGTGCACGGTGCACCCATATAATGTGTGAAACTTATTGATGGTCGAACATCATTAAAAGGTAAGAAATTGTTATGAAATATTATAACTATATTTTTTTTTTTGAAAGAATTATAACTATATTTATGTATCTAGATATTTAAAATTAAGAAAAATGAAAGTCAGGTAGAAAATGTTACATTACAAGGAGAAGAGATATCAACCGAGAATACATGAGCAAATTACTTATCATTAACACATGCAACGCAATGGTGGCAAGGCATTAAAACTGGCTAAGAACAACGTCCAAGCAACAGGCTAAGTAATTTAGACTTAGACACAACAAATATCGAATAAATTCCACTTTTGCTCCTACGAATTTTAGGTCAAGTCCACATTTAGTCCACATCTTTCACTTTGTCCACTTTTGATATATGACTATTGGATTTTCGCTCATATATGGTTCTTCCGGCATTGTTTCCGATGGTTAAAATCGCCGAAAAATGATCACAAACAGTTAAAAAACATTAGTCAAGTACCAAAAGTGGACAAAGTGAAAGACGTGGACTAAAGGTAGGATTGACACAAAACTCGTAGGACCAAAAGTGGAATTAATTCCAACAAATATCTCTAAGATATCATCAAGCTTTCACTATCTTTTATTTCAACCTTGAATATTCTATGGAGTTTCCTTTATTTCACTAATACAAAGAATCAACCGAAGCTAGGGATGGACTCGGGCCGGGTGGCCCGACCTGGAACCGGCCCGGGACCGGTACTGTTCCGGCCCGGCCCGACCCGGTGGCCCGGTCAGTGACCGGTCCAGGTAGGCCCGGCCCGTGGGTTTTCCGGTCCGGGCTCGGGTCACCCAAAACAAGGCCCGACCGGGCCAAAATCTTTTATTTTTCAATTTCTTTTAAATTTTCGGGTTGGGCTGGGTATTTTGGGCCATTTGGGGTGGTTTGGGGGGGTTGGGGGTGGGAGGGGGGTTAATTAGGAAGAGGAAAACAAAAAAAATGATAATGGGCCCGGCCCGGCCCGGCCCGGACCCGGACCGGACCCGGTGGTTACCCGGGCCGGTCCCGGGTCCATCATTTCTGAACCGCCGGCCCGCCCGGGCCTAGGCCGGACCCGGCCCGGACCCGAGTCCATCCCTAACCGAAGCTATAAAAGAACTCAAGAGTCTGAAGGGTTTGGCGAATGATCGCAAAGCTCAACAAATTGTGAGTATTGATTCTATTGAATATTGGGAACTAGTAAGGAATCTCTAATCGTGAAGCATTGAACATTTTGTACCTCAATGTATCAATACATTCAAATATAATGGAACTCTTAAAGTTTGGAACAAAGAAGTGACTCAATTAGGAGGATTAAACCACTTATGAACAAGTACGACTCGAACATGTGAAACAAATTCAAAAAACTACGGATGATAATTGGATGATGGATCGGATCGGATACGAATGAACATACATCTAATCCATCACGTGATCCACTCATCCACCGTGTGTAAGTAAGTAAGTAAGCAAGTAAGTAACTAAGTAAATAAGTAGACAGATAGGTGAGTGGGTAAGTAAGTAGGTAAGTAAGTAATAAGTAGATAAGTGATTTATTATATACTCCTTGTATAACTATTTATTTAAATTCAAAGTATATAAATGTAGGAAATTTAAGTCCAGATGTCTGTTACTATGAATTTTCTCACTATCTAATTTCATTAAATCTCATTTGATTATATTTTAGAAACTGTTTTAATTTTTATTTGAAACTTTCAAATAGCATTCTCAATTTTGTAGTAGAAAGTAAAAAGTATGATTTAGTTAAATACCTCATTTGGTATTAAAATGTAATCAAATGTAATTGATCTTATTAGATCATAATTTCGTTTTAGTTATTAAGTTTTGTAAATAGAAGGGAAAAGCAGGGATGGACTAAACCGGGTCGGGTCGGGCCGGCCCGCTACTGTGCGGGCCCGGACCGGACCGGGACCGGTTGGTCGGTTCCGGGCTTTTAGACCGTTTGGGCGGGTCGGGCGGGCCGGGCCCGGGTCAATTTTTTTTTGTTTTTCAATTTTTTTTCTTTTCCTAGGGTAGGGCTGGATGTTTTGGGGAGGTTTGGGGGGCGGGGGGTGAGGGGGGGTCGGGGGATAACAAGAAAGCAAAAAAAAATAGACATTGAACCAGGCCCGGACCGGTTCCAGGCCCAAGGATTTGCAAAAAAAAGCCCGCCCGGGCCCGACCCGGAACCGGACCGGACCGGGTCCATCACTAGGGAAAAGGGTCAAATAGCCCCCCTATTAATACGAAAATGTCAATTAAGTCCACCAACTCAAATATCATCCAATTAAACCCACGAACCATAAAAAACGAGTCAACATGTCTTTTTAGCCAGTGGTCTTCCCATTGCCAGTCAAATTACTTATCTGGCATATGAATATTTGATATGGCATATTTTTCTTTTTCCTTTTTTGTTTTCCTTTCTTCTTCCTGGACTCCCTGTGTGAGTTTTTTCCTCCCTTTCTCTTTTCTTTCTTTTTCTTTTATCCTTCTTCCTTTTCTCTCCCAGATTCTTTGCTAGGAAGAAGTCCTCTTCCGCTCACCTGGTTCGTCACCCTCACCCATCTTTTTCACTTACATGAGTAGACGCCAAAGACAGGTCGCCACTGCCGCCTTCACCGCCTTTCGCTGCCGCCCATGGTTCTCTGCCCCTGAATTCGAACTATACTCTGCATTATCTTTAATTTCTTCAAATTGGAATCAAGCTTCAAGTCTCGTAGAAGCTAGAGATCCATGGGACCAAAGTGGGATGAAGCTCAATTCCGCCCTTTTCTGTTATGAGAGCATTGGAGCAGCAAAATCGAGCGGCATTTGGCGACGAAATCATGCGGCGTTGGCCCGTTGAAATGGTGGGATCTACACTTTTGTGAATTGGGATTGGAGTTGATGGCGCAAGGGAGGAGGCAGAACCAGTGAGGTAGGGATGGACTCGGGCCGGGTCAATCGGACCGAAACCAGACCAGCACGGTACTGTTACAAACCGGCCTGACCCGCGGCCCGGGTCCAAGCCGAGTGCAATATACCCGAACCAGATTTTCTTGGGCCGGGCTCCGGCCTCCAGGTCTCCATATAATGAACCGGCTCGACCCGGCCCGGTCCAGGCCAATTTTTTTTTTGTTTTTCAAAATCTTTGGAAGGTAAATGGGTTCAATTGGGTGTTTTAAACGGGTTTGAGGTGTGGGGATGGGGGGTAGGAAGTAATTAGAAAATCCTAAAAAAATAAGGTACCCAGCCCAAGCCCGACCCAGTAGCTACCTGGGCCCAATCCAGCAGCTACCTGGGCCGGTTCCGGGTCTCAACAAACCAAAAAAAAGCCAGTCAGGCCCGGCCCGGACTGGCCCGAGTCCATCCGTACAGTGAAGTCATGAACCAGGGAGGAGGAAAAGGAAAGGAAAAAAGAAAGGAAATAAAGAAAAAGAGAAATAAAAGAAAATGAAAAGAAAAAAGAAAAATAAAAGAAAATGAAAAGAAAAAAGAAAAATTATCTCCCAAAATGATTTGCAACCATGCCCGGCTTTGGTCATTCATCCCAAGTTCCCCGTGGCCTTGGTAATGTATACATAAGATCCAGTTGCGACCTAATACAGAGTAGTAATCACATATTTGTTCATGATCTACATACACACATATTAACAGCAGTGTCTTGCTTTCTTGCTTCTTCACATGTCCATGCCATCGAAGAATATGTATCCATCTTCTTCCTGGTTATTTAATTCATCTGCTGAAGCCAAGTTGCTGAAACAAATGACATAGTCCTTCAGTGTGACCATAAATGCACACATTGTACTCTAATTTTGACAAAGGTACAACTTTGTAAAGGTACAACTTATAACTTTAACAAAATACAACTCTGAAATTTTTTGGCAATTTAATAAATTATTATACTTTTGTTTGATCAGATACGAATTTTTTGTTTGCAAAAAAACTTTTGGAACAAAATCTTTTTCTACAAAAATACTTTTGAAACAGGCCTTTTTTAGGAACAAAGATCTATTAACAGGAAACCCCATACCTCACACAGCTAAAGCGGAAGCTGACAATGCGTTTCAACCTCCTATTGTAGAAGAAGAAGTGGTATGCCCATCTGCAAAACACACAAAAATTAGGTACGCCTCACCTATGCAAGTTTGACCCATTCCATACAGTTCAATGATCAATCTCCATCTGATATTATTAAAAAGGTTAAAGGTGAGAGCTACATCTTGTTACAGTTCATACATTAATAGACTCATCATATAGTAGGTATAAATTTTGACTTCATTATTTAAGTGTCTGTTTGGAACTCAGAAAACTCTAGGGAAATAAAATAGAGGCAAAAAGTCAAGACTCAAGAGTAATTTTTTTTTTGGAGGTCTGGTGAACATTGGAATCTCCGCACAGTGAGGATCTGGGGAAAGGTCCGACCATTCCCTTGTCATTTTGACAAGAGGCCGCTCCCAAGTCTGGAACCTGTGACCGCTCGATCACATAGCAACACCGTAATCGGTGGGCCAAGGTTCCCCTTCTATTTACGCAAAGAAGATGTCAACAAAAATTAGAAATAAGCTCATACTAAAAAAAGTGGCTTTAGATACTCGTTCAAACTCATTTTATTTACTTACTTTTATAATAATATCATTATATGAACACTAAAGGCCCAAGTATATTTGAATTCTTAAAGAATGATTAGTCTTGTTACGATTTCCTTCTTGTTGCATAGGTAATTAAACCATGTAAAAATGAATTTTCGCACCAGTTTTTTCCATTGTATTTTTTTCTGAATCCAAATATACCCTAAAAGAAAGAAAAGTGCATGAAGAAATAGATGCACTACAATTAGCAGTACCACTGAGGCAAGCTGCATATGAGCTGGCAAAGGCAAATGCAAAAATGATGTATCAAATATTCTCTAGGATAAGCTCCAAAGCATATATTAACCCTATAGTTATGATGACTAAGTGACAAACCAAGAAGTAAAACAATATGGGAACCAAAAATCAAAATCCTATGAACGTAAATCTTACAAGGTTCCTTTTTCGTGAAGTGGATCTGCGTCAGCCTCGGGATTGTAGCTATAAACTTCACAGTCAGAGACTTTCACAACCTGCAACCATTATATGTCAAATTTTTAGCATACACATCTCATTATGTTTTGTCATCATAATAAACACACCTCATCCAAGGCCTTGTACAATGTCTCTAGCAGAGTACTGTCTTCATGTGTCTCAATCCATTCCTGCAGCAAAAATCTCAAGATATCATTCAAAAAAGCACCTAACCTTCCCAAACAAGCAACTCAATCTGCTACCACATTATATCATTAACCAAATAAGTTCATTGAAAGAACCATAGAATAAAACTACCTTGGATGCCTCAGACATGTAAGTATCAAATGCCTGCTTAAAACTATCCCAGTTTTCTTCAGTAAAAAATTGGTGAGCATTCACTGCACTGGTAAACCAGAAAGTTGGAAAATTGTGGCATCACCAAAAAACATCACACAATAATCAGTACAGCCAAGTGGACGGATTTTAGTTTTGGGAAATGGAGAGACTTGAACTCTCAGCTCCACCTAGAGCAACAGTCATCTAAACTGCCTGTCAAACCTTTTGACAACACTCCCAAGGCTGTAAGATAGGATTATATAACGGGATGCCATATCGCCCAAAAAGCTGACAGTGGCATTACCCATAACCCTACTTCTCAGCTCATGTCAAAAAAAATAATCTACAGAGTTACCTGAAGTCGTGATCTGGATATATGTGATTCAGTGTAAGGAGCAGATAAATCAATGTCTTTCGGCTGGAATACAAATTTCACAATTATATTATGACCCATTTAAATAGCCACACAATTAATAGGCCAGCCAATTAGTTCGGATTCACCACCTGGATCTACAACATAGATAATCAACCGGTGAAGATGAGTCGGTGTCAGATGACTTTCCGAGGTAATCAAGAATCTGAGATAGAATCATAATAAAGTGCAAAATTTTAATTCATACAAAATCATTACACTGCCAATGGGTAATTATCTATTGGAAGGCTACTTTTAGAACACCTACAAATGCAATGGAGATGAGATACCCAGAATTAACTTCTAGTCAAATAAATTACAGGAAAGTTCCTGCTTAAAAGCTACTATTCAATTAAAAAAAGTCTGTTTAGAGCAAAAGAGAAGGGTCAAATATAGAAATTGGACAGTTGGACACTAAGGCATATGACATGTCACGCATGCAAGACAGTTGTTCTTTGGTAGCATGGACTAGCTGAGATCATATAGGAAGCAAGAAATCTAAGGATGGAATGGACAGCACACATGCACACAATTAGTGTATTCAATCAAAATTCATCAAAAAGGAAAAATTGACAGTAGGGAATAAGGGAAACAGCTAACAGAATAAGTTATCAATAAAGATCACCTCATTTTCCAAACTGAAAGACAACTTCTTATCCGTTCCAGTGTGTTTGCCTTTAAAATACATGGAAAAACAACTTTCAGCCATTAGACAGCCAAAATATAACTATATAGTTTGCATTAAAAAAGAATTAAGTGAATACCATACTTACAAGAGTATGCTTCAAGAGAGCATTTAACAGTGCGTTCTCCTAGATTCACATGACTCAAAAACTCACTTATACTGAAAGTGTAAAGAGAGTGTTTACCGTTAAAAGGACTTCAAACTGAGTTAATCTAAATTTAAATAGAAAAGGAAATGGATGAGGAGGAGGAGGAAGACAAGATAGGTAAAACAAAATAATCAGAACGCCGAGTGAGGAAAACAACAAACATTAACATTGAAATCTTTAAACAGATTTTGTCGTTTCAACAATGACACTTCAGGACTTACTGATCAAGCGGAGTGTACTCCAAGAACTTCATGGCACATATATCACAAGGGAACCTAACAGAAAATAGAGTTCAAACCTTCAGTCACATGCTAAGAGCAGTTAAAGGCACAAACTTTAGTCAGTAGCGCCACTCAAGAGAATAGGTAGCAACAACTTATCCACTTTTAACACATAATTACACATCAACACACTTATACACTATGCACACATTTTGAGAGTTCACTGGATTTTGCAATAAGGTAACAAATGTGCTGACAATCTCACAACTTTAAGCACCAATAAATTTGGACAATTTCTGATTTCGCCTTATTACACACACCTACTATGCTAGAGCATCAGCCAAATAACTTCATTCTTTTAACGTTGGACAGTATCATTGAGTTATAAAGTTCTGATTTCCATAACTATTAACTACCATTCCCACTCCCTGAAAAAACTGACCTTTTCCAAAGTTGGTCGAAATGCCACCCTCCAGCCTCATCTGTAATCCAAGGCCTGGCGAGAGCAAAGAGTATGCATACCGGTTTTTGGGTTGGAATTTTGGATTCAGATTGGAATTAATTTGTTGGTCTAGGAAACAAGTATCCCAATTGAAAGTTTGAAACAGAAATTGCTCTAAATAGGAGTAAAACATAAATAATGTTCAAAAATATGACCATCTGTGTATTATTCTGTGAATAGGACTTATTCAGTTTTACAAAAAGAATAAAACAATAAAAAAAATCCTAAAATATGATTGATTGAATCCTATTGAAATGAGTTGTGCTTTACTCCTATTTAGGAAATTATACGTTCATTTTGGATCGGGTTGCGGAACTAGAATTAAGATAACCATAACGTAGCTCGGTCTTGGTTCGTAATTAAGTTTTGTGCTGTCAAATTCAGTTCCATGCAAAACGCTCGTAATTTTAACATGAATAAGCTGACAAAACAAGTCAAATAACAATACTGGAAAACATACTACTCGAGGCATATAAAATGAATGCAAAACCAACATTGGGAAACATATAATATTTCTTTAGAAGATGTGAAATGGCAATACCTAATACGATTGCAATAATTATAGAAAAGTCTAATAGGCGACCACTGGAAACAAGTAAAGGTCTCTGGAGCGCGGAGGCACCGAAGCTGGGAGAAATCGGGCCGTAGGCGGTGTTAGAAGGGGAAGGTGCGGAGTCCGTCGAGGGCTGAGGCTTGGACGGAGTGGGTGGAGGATATGGATCTGTATCTGTTTGTTGTGAATTTAGTAGCCACGCGTGTTTTCACTTTACGTATTCTTTCTTCTTAAACTTTTCTTTTCGGTTTTCTTTATCACGTTTGTTATGTTGTTTTCTTCTTGAATTTTTTTAGTATATATATCTTGTTCATTAAGTGTAGTTTGCTCATACCAAATTTTATACAAGTATAAAGCTTCAATCCGAAAAGCATTAAAATGAATTTTTCAAGATAACTACGCAGTTAAAAGCGCAGTTATCTTCTTCAACAATTCATTTGAATGTCTTCCCAATTGAATTGTTAGATTCAATTTGGTATGAGTAAACTAGACTTAATGAATAAGATGCTCAAACAATTTCATCAAAAAATTCCACCGGGAACTGCCCCAAATGGAGACGGCCGGAAAGAGCCTCCTATATAAGGAATTATTTGACCTTTTTATGTAAGTTCGAGGGCCAATTTGACCTTTTTCCCTTGAATTATTCACGCGTAACTTTTTAAACATCCGGTAGTATTATTAGTACTTTTATATTTTTTGTGTCAAATCATTCAAAAATAGAGTAATGGAAAAGGTTACAACATTAGCTTTTGGATCATTTTTTGAAGTAGAAAATGACATCAACTAATTACTTTGTACTCCTTAGGCGCTTTAAACGGGCAACTAGTGCACCTAGACTAAAATCATGGTGATGGAGTATATGGCCCGGGAACACCCGGCCCACAGACTCCTACTACTCCTTTAGAGGCCCAACAGGCCCAGAAGGCCCAACAGGCCCAAATCACGGCGCCCAGAGTACCAGGCAACCCGCAATACGCACCAGGGGTGCCTTCGCCCCCCTGGCCGAAGGCTCCAAACTATCACAGCATGGATATTTCGAACAAACAGAGGAACTGGGAGAAAACGGCGAAAACAGTAGCCCTCGGCACCTGGAGCCCTCGGCACTCAGGGGTCCTCAGCACTAAGAGCCCTCGGCTAGTCCTCTGCAGCCGAGGGCACCTCTCCCGACATGATATCCGCCTCACATGCGTACAGATCACCGTACCCTGTACAGACGTCCCATCCAACAGCCGCATTAAATGCGGCCACATGCGGCTGCCAACGCCAACCAGTTGAGGTGACCCCTCGGCCAATAGGCGCTTGACACGTGTCCCTGTCCGGCATTTATTGCTACTATAAATAGCACCCCATTTCCCCATTTGTAACCACGCTGAAAACGCTTCACATTTATAATACACTCTCTCTCTCTACACTTACTTGCTCTGACTTCTCTCTAAGTTATTCCCAGCAATAACCCTTCGGATATATCCCCCGGGTAGACTATCCATCATTTGGTGCTCTCGTTGAGAGGTCGAACAAATCGAGTAAGAAACCCTCCCCCTTCGCCAAACACTAGCCCTCTACCAAAAATGGTGAGAACAACACGTGCCAACTCCAAAAACGTGGAAGACAAGAACCTGGCCCTCGGCGACGTCAACGCCCCCGAAGCCTCTCACAGGGCTCCCGAGGGCGGTGTCATCGCTGGGCTGGAACAGGCGGCTGTCGACCTACGCCTTCAGATCCAACAGAATGCCCCCGATGCCCGCCTCGGCATCGAGGCCAAGAAGAAAAACCGGAGCGATGACCAAGTCAGCCCTCCGGTTCTCACCATCGACGTGCAATCGGCGCTCTCCGCCTTCATCCAAACGCTCACTCAGAACCCGGGTGCCTTCGGCACCCTGGCTCCGGCTCAACCCCAGGTTGGAGAGGACATCATACTTCCTCCTCTGCCACACCCCTTCGGAAACCCCACCCCTCGGGTTGGGAACGACGAGGGGGTAGTGGCCCAAGACACGTCCTCCCAGGAAGTTCAGTCCCGGGACCGCCACAATGACAACAGAGAAAGGCCCCGCACTTCCGCCCTCAACCGCCTCGGAGGAGGGCCAGACCGCCGAGGGGTCCAAGACCGCCTCGGAGGGAAAGCACTCCAAAGGCCCCAGGAAAGCGGAGGGTCTGTTTCGAGGGCAGACGAGGAGCGTCCCCCTCGGGACAAAGGCAAGGCACCCCTTCATGCCAATGATGCTCACCACCAGATCAACCAGGCCCACTCGGCCCGGGTTCGTTCGCAGGGGGCGGAGACCCTCCCGAAGGATCCCCGGGACGAAATTATTGCGGCCCTCCAACGCCGGCTTGATGAAATGGAGGCCAACAAAGCTCACGCCACCACCTCCACCCCTCATTCAGATCTCAAATACGATGCCATGATGGCCAAGATGGAGGAATTACAGAAGAAGGTGGCCGAGGGCTCCGGGGAACCCGTCATCCAGCTCCGGACCCGGACGCCATTTACCCCAAGGGTACTGGCGGCCCAGATCCCGGAAAAATACCGAGGGCAACACATACAGCCCTATAACGGGAAGACGGACCCCCCAGGAACACTACAGCAAATATCAAAACAGCATGATGATGGTAGGGGCGTCGGACGAATATTTGTGTCGTTGGTTCCACTCCACCTTAGAGGGGCCGGCATACGAATGGTTCAACCGGTTGCCCGAGGCTGCATTGATTCGTGGCAAGAACTCGCCCAGCGATTCTTGACACAATTTGCCGAGAGGCGTCGCACAAGGAAGCACTTCTCCCACCTCCTAACCATACGCCAGAAGAGGGATGAGACCCTTCGGGACTTCCTGGAGCGCTGGAGGACGGAAGCCGACAAAGTCGACGGTGCTGATGACGGGACCCTCCTGGCCCTCCTACAAACCGTCCTCCGTACCGGCAAGTTTTCAAGGAGCCTCAACATTGAACCCCCCCGCGACTACATAAGGGCTTTGCAGCGGGGGGACCGATATGCTGAGGCCGAGGAGGTGGAGAAATATCACCAGCATCCGGATCAGCAGCCCCCGAGGGCTGACAATAAGAACAACCGGGGGCCGGGGGCTCCTCCAAATCACCCCAAGTCTTCAGGACCCTCTGATGACCGCCTCGGCAAGGCCAAGCCAAGCCCAGGGGAGGTTATAAGAGCAGCCCTAAGACTTGGGCGCAGCCTATCCTCCTGGACCGCCCCCGGACACCATTGACGCACCCCGTCAGCATCATCCTTGATTTTGCCGAGGAGAGGGGCCTCGTTGATTGCGACTCTCGCGCACCCCCGGAGGTTCATGCTATCAACCCTCAGTTCCCCTACTGCCGTTTCCATCGGCATCAGGGGCACAGGACCGATGACTGCCACCAGCTAAAGACGGCCATCGAGAGATTAATACAAGCGGGACACCTGTCCCAATTTGTTCAGAGCCCTCGGCAGGAGGGACCTTCTCATCAGGGGCCTCCCCGAGGGCACCACACGAAGGTGAACGCTTGGGTGAACCCGAATACCATCCCCCTCGGCAAGAAGAGGGAGATCGGAAACTTGGAAGAAGAGGAGGAGGAATACCCCCACTACCAGGAGAAAAAACGCCACATCCTCATGATCACCGGTGGCAATACAGGGGGCGATTCCACCAGCCAGCGAAAGAAGTGGGCTCAATCGCTTTACGTGGGGGAAGTCACTCATATGCCCCCGGTAAAGCGACTGAGGGAGGAACCCATCACCTTCACCAACGCAGATCTCCCTCCTACTTCTTCTCCTCACAGGGATGCCTTGGTGATTCGGACTGAGATAAACGACACCATCATTCACCGAACATACATTGACACGGGTAGCTCCGTCAATGTAATGTACCTCAGCACCTTCAGAGAGCTGCATCTGGAGAGGGGGGCCCTTCGGCCCATTAAGACCCCTCTTGCCGGCTTCACCGGCGACACTATTGATTCCGAGGGGGTAATAACCCTCCCGGTGATCTTCGGCGATGGGCTCCATAGAGCCCAGCTCGAAGTGGAGTTCGTCGTCGTTAACATCGACTGCGCCCACAACATTATCCTCGGCCGGCCAGCCCTGGAGGACCTCGAGGCCATCATCTCCATGAGGCACCTCTGCCTCAAGTTCCCCGCCGAGGGGGGCATTGGCTACTCCCGGGGGAATCAGAAAATCGCCCGCGCCTGCTATCTTCAAGTCACTAAGAAGGTAAGTAAGACGGAATTCCGTGTTGACACCATCACCGGAACCCTTGACCAAGAAGAAAAAAGGCCGAGGGCTGAACCAGTCGAGGACGTAGAAGACTTTGCGCTCGATCCGGCCTAGCCGGAGAAAGTCGTGAAGATTGGAGCCCAGGTCCCTGAAGATCTGAAGACCGGTATCACCAACGCCCTCCGCGCCTACTCCACTGTCTTTGCATGGGGGCCGGAGGACATGCCGGGAATAAGCCGAAGGGTCATCACCCACCGCCTCTTGGTGGACCCCTCGGCAAAAGCAGTACAACAACGAAGAAGACCCCTCTCCGCCGAAAGGAGGGAATTTGTGAAGAAGGAGGTCGCCATGCTCCTCTCTATTAAGCACATCAAGGAGGTGAAATATCCCTCATGGCTAGCAAATGTAGTCCTCGCACAGAAGCCCCCTACCTTCCGCATGTGCGTGGACTACACCGATCTCAACAAGGCGTGCCCTATGGATCCATTCCCTCTACCAAATATTGATCAACTGGTGGATGAGACCGCAGGGTGTGAGATCATGTCCTTCCTCGATGCCTTCCGAGGGTATCACCAAATTTTCATGCACGAGGAAGACGCCGAAAAAACTGCCTTCATGACTCCCGAGGGCATCTTCTGCTACCTAGTAATGGCCTTCGGCCTAAAGAACTCAGGGGCCACTTACACCCGGATGGTGGCCCGGGTCTTTCAAGCCGTCCTAGGGCGCACCATGGAGGCCTATGTCGACGACATGATCGTCAAGAGTAAACAATCTTCCAGCCATGCTGACGACCTCCGGGAAATCTTCGCCATCATGCAAAAGTTCAACCTTCGGCTAAACCCGAAGAAGTGCACCTTCGGCGTCCAAGGAGGCAAGTTCTTGGGCTACATGGTGAGCCGAAGGGGTATTGAGGCCAATCCCGAGAAGATCCAGGCCATCATCAACATGGAGCCCCCACGCAATGTGAAGGAAGTCCAACGGTTGACGGGCCGCCTGGCAGCCCTCAACCGCTTTCTATCTAAATCAGCAGAGA